CAACTCCAGTAACAGAAAGCGGATCATTGCCTGGCTGGAGCAGCTGCTGGTCGATACCTCTCAGCTGTAGTTCAAAGCGCTCAGTTGCGGTGACAGTATGTAGACAGCGCAATTGCTTTTTATGCCACGTTCCCGCGGAATACAAATCAGTATTCCAGCGAAAATGGGCAAGCCAGTCAACGCGTTGCCGGTTAGAGAAAGGGGGATTGTGTATATATCGTCACAAATAGAACTGCCCGGTAAACCGTAGGCAGAGAGAGAGAAGAGGACAACAAACGAGGGGCTGTGACAAACTGTTTCGTCGGAGTTTCACCGATATATATATATATATATATCGTCACAATGTCACCACTCCTCGTTTGTCGTCCTTTTCTCCCTCTCTGCCTATGGTTTACCGGGCGGTTCTGTTTGACGATATACATATATATGCCACGTAACTATTGAACCCACAACTTCTGGCCTGACAGACTAAATGCGATTTGCAAAACAAACGACTAAAACGAAACAGCAGAATCTGTGACGCACACTGAAACTTTTCTTTTGTCTTTTCATGCGCAGCTCTCTCTGTTCTTTCCTCGTTTCATTTTTTTTCACCGTCTAGCAGACAGTGTGAACAATACAGAAACCGTTCTTTTGCCTTTTCCTGTGCAGTTCTTTCTTTTCTCTCTCATTTTTTAGGGTTTCTCTTTCATTTCCTCTTTTGGCTCGCCCATTATCTTGCCTCTGAGTCACAAGGCTCGCCATGTTGATGTGCATCAAGGTGTGGGTCTCATATTGCAAAAAAATAAACCAAAATGCATGTTATATCCAAAACAGACAACATTGCAGCAGACCCTGAAAATAGCTAAAACATGGGCAAAGTGATAGCACTTACCTGCAACTCACTGATATACATCAGTCTTTCCTCCATCATCTTCTGGGTCATCTGCACTAGTAGGAGTAAGAGATCAGGGATACCCTCCCCACTGCAAAATCGACAAACGGAAGCAACACATCCCCAAAAAGAACTCGTTACAACACGGTGCACAACCAGCACGTTTACCATTCATTGTACACAAAATACAAACGACTTACCCGTATACAAATATTTCAAGGGGAGGGGGGGGGGGGAAATATCACTGGACAGAAATTACCACTAGGCCAGACGTGGCTACAATGACCCCCTTCTTGCTCGGGCAAAGCGAGTGGCAGTGCCAATCGGTTCAAGTGCTAAACATCCAGGACCCATCATCACACGAACTGTGGACTGTGGCGATGCCAGGACTCACGATGAGATACAAAACCAGAAATAGAAGTACAGTCAGAGAAAGCAAACTCATGCAGCGCTGACCAATTAGCACATGCATTCAGAAAGACCAAGTGACAAACATGCTTCAGCACTCACTCTGTGCAGCAATGCCAGGACCCAAGATAAGCTACGAAACCACAAATACAAGCACAGTCAGAGAAAGAAAACTCGAGCAGCACCAACCAAATTAGCACATGCATTCAGAGCGACCAAGCGACACACATGCTTGATCACTCATTATCTGCAGCACACATACCCATACAAGATACTAGATTAGCACATATTTTCCCTCTCTAGGCCTTTGTTCATCCTTGTGTCTAAACAAATCTCTACAACCACACTGATACCCCGATCCACAAACAAGAGGTCCTCAACCACTAGTTCAAGATCACGATATTGATTACCCTACATCCTCTCCGTGATCTGAACTTAAAAAAAAAAAAAAAGGTAACAGATCAAACACACCACCGCTCACCTTATAGCACTTGTGGGTATAATGCTCACATTCTTTCTGACATCTGTGTTCTTCCAATAAACGGCCGAATTCAGCCCCTGCTCTTTCAACTCTAGAATCGCCTGCAAACAACCATCATCATCCCCCACCAAATCAACATACAATTTAAAACCTCTGAAAAGCAAGAACTGAATAAGATGTGAGTAAATAGAATGCACACAATCAACTAACATTTCACTGAAATCGCGAACGCTTACATTGCATACAACGGACAGACGACTTGGACAGAAAACTGCAAAAGCCATTGGCATCAATCTCTGCCTCAAACAACCATCGGTGTTGACGTCTGCTACAAACAGCCCGTGGTATTCAGCACGAACTACAGTCATCCGAGACACTGCAGCACATCAGGGCAGACGGTCATAATGGAATTCTGTTGATCCTGAAGATGATGAAACTAAAGCCACCAGTTCTCCTGAAAAGGAGGCGCTCCATGACAGTAGCGAGGCTTCCATGTGGTAACGAAGGAGAGACTACCCACCATGTTCCGTTAAACCGAGGTAGTCCCTCATCCCACAGCCAGTTTCTCATTTCCCTACCTTGCTCAGGATGCTGTCTGTACACTCAGACACACGGGATTCATTTTTGATACTTGCACGATTCGTTTTGCAAATGCAAACGTGCCCCTCATGAAATCAATGTTGAATTCCAGTGACGAAACCTTTGCATCACAGTATCCACGAATCTGGCAATGGATTCCGCACAAATGGTTGTAACAGGAAAACAATTTGCCAGTGGGCCTAGGGAGCTGTAAGTGGACAAACAAGGCCTGTGTCACAAGATGGCACAGCCTGTATCAGCCACTACGTTTATGTTGGCAGAGTACACCAGCCCACAACACACAAAAGTATTCTGAGCATCAATCGTACAGTGCCCTAGGGTCCATAAACTACGAGCAGTACTCACTCTTCCTTCGCCTATTTGCAACTACCTACAGTTGTCGGATCGGACACACATTCTCAAAGTCAAACAGAAGACTTACGTCCCAGCACCGATCTTCGCTTCCACTTCCTCCGGTAAAGAAGGTACATGTGTGAAACACATGATGTGCCATGTGGTAAACAAAGAAGACAATATCCGCCACGGTCCGTTAAACTGAAGTTGTCCCTTAATCTCACAGCCAACAGGAAAACAATTTGCAGTTGGGCCTAGGGAGCTGTAAGTGGACAAACAAGGCACGTGTCACAAGAGGGCACAGCCTGTATCAGCCACTACGTTTATGTTGGCAGAGTACACCAGCCCACAACACACAAAGTATTCTGAGCATCAATCGTACAGTGCCCTAG